AGAGAGCTAGGAGTCTGGGAGAACATGTAGGATTTGTATTTGTTCCCAACACCTGGGACTAAGGAAACCTGGTTTCTATTCCCTGTTCTGCCACTGGCCTGCTGGGTGGCCTTGAACAAGTCGATTCACCTGTCTGTGCCTCAGTTTCTCCATCGGTAAAATGGGGAGAGTGATACTGGCTTCCTTCTTACAATGCTTTGAGATCTAGTGATGAAAAACACTATGTAAGAGCTAGGCATTATTAGCATTATTATAAGAACTTCTACAAGGAAATCTACTCAATGATGGGGAGCAATTCTCCAGCAGAGAGGCGCCACATGTGCCTTCTTTTTGAAACCTATTTGTGAGATTCTAGCCATAAGCTCAGAGATTCTTAGCTTCCCTGTATTACATGCCTCTGTCTAAGAGAGAGATCTACATTTCAGCAATATACCTTCTTACCTAATGTCAATAGGTTTTCTGTAGCATTGATATAAGCGACGGAATCAAACTGCTCAAAGTCATCTTCTTTAGCCTGAAAGAAGAGAAAGAAAAACAAGCCTTCGTACCCATTTTGAAATAGCTGGATCTTTTTTTCTCACAACTCCTAAGCTGTAGCACTTCCCAGTATTTGTTTCCTACTGTGCATTCTGAAAATGGGCAGAAGAGGGTCTGTCTTCACTGCAGAGTTAACTTGGGTGATCAATTGCTCCAGTCCCTTATGGCTCACCCAGGAACCCCACTTTAGCCCCTCACAGGGCCCCTCATCCCTCTAACCCCAGCATCCCATCTTCACAAAAGGACTGGTGACCTTTTCACCCCTTCTTTCCCCTTCCCCTCGTCTTCTTGGGGTGGGCAGATGGCTTAGACTCCCTCCCCTATTCAGAGGAGCCTGACACAGAAAATCTCCAAGTGGCGAGAGCCAATGGGACAGAGCGGGGAGCCAATCCCAGTCTCATGGGACAGGAGCCGCTACTGCAGGATGAGTGCAGGGCACGCTCGCTCTCCAACACGGTACGTGTACCCCCTTGACTCTCCGAGGCCTCCCGTCCGCACTGACTGGGATAGAGACAGGGACACCCCCGTACCCTGCCATCCACACACGGGAGAGTGGGGCCTGACAGTTTTACTCAGCCACACCCCCACAAGGATATTTTCACCAGCCATCTATCACCAGGAGCCACCACCACAGTATGTCCAGTGGACTTATTTAATACTTACTATGGGAACATGTATATTATGTATCATGGGTAAGAAATATTTAATAAACCAGATTTTTTTTTGCACTAAAGCTGTTTACTGGGTCACAACAGGCCGTCAAGGTTTCCAGGCAGATCCTGTCCCCAAAAATGTCAAGAACCAGAGTTATACTAGGAGTGCACAGTTGTCTGGCCTGGTTGCAGGGAGGAAGTAGGTGTCTGCATTCTCACACATTGTTTGCCTGCAGCATGGACACTCACGAGCTAACACAGTGGATCTCTCAGGATCTGAGGTGTTTCTCCACATTTAGTTTAGAGAGTATCTCCTACTTACTGAGACCAGATTTTTGTTGCTTATATCCACAGAGCACAGATCTGAAGGGATCTTCACACAGTGGAGCTTAATCTGGGAACACAAACCAAAGGGTTAGCCCTGCAGCCTCGCCAGGCAATTCCACATTCAACAGTTCGGTATCTGGACACACGAAGGCAGAGGAACAACCAGGACTGCCAACTGCTATGGGTTTATTATCTGGATGATGACTTGGGGACAAGTGACTCTGTTCTCACTTCTAGAGGAGCTTCCCCAGAGTATGTAACACACAGGGCCACCCAGAGGATTCGGGGGCCTGGGGTCTTCTGCGGCGGGGGGTCCTTCCACTCCGGGTCTTCGGGGCACTTCGGCAGCGGGTCCTGGAGCGAGTGAAGGATCCGCTGCTGAATTGCCACCGAAGATCCGGAGCGGAAGGAGCCCTCGACGCCGAATTACCGCTTAAGACCTGGAGCAGAAGAAGCTCCAGGTCTTCGCTCCGGGTGTGTTCAGCGGCACTGAAGGACCTGCGGCCGAAGACCCGCCGAAAACTCTCGTGGGGGCCCCTGCGGGGCCTGGGGCAAATTGCCCCGCTTGCACCCCCCCGGGCGGCCCTGGTAACACACAGATGAAGTGCCAGCTCTGCCAGGCGTGTGGCCGCACGCTGCAGCAGGACACGCCGTGCAGAGGTGCAGGGTACCCGGCTCTGACGGCCTGAGCCCAGCTGACAGCGTGAGGGGCGCTCGCTGTGCGGGGAGCCGGAACCACGTGCTGGGTGGGGAGCGATCGGCGCTGCACGGGCTGGGTTCGGGATCGGGATCGGCGGGAGGTGCTGTCCCTCCCCGCAGCCTCAGCACAGCAGCGCCCCCTGCTGGCGGGGCCTGGGTGCGCCCGGGTGTGCGGGTCCCCCCGGGGCTGGGCTGGGCGAGGCGCGCGCGCACAGACGGACGCGCGCAGTGAGGGATGGGGCGCGTCCCCGCCAGACTCCGGCCCGCACGCGCCGCACAGGCGCATTGAGCCCGAGTCCCGGGTGGCGCTGGTGGCTCCCGGCCTCGTTTCCCGCTCGACGCCTCAACGGAAGCAGCGCCCGGCGCCGGCAATCGCGCCAGGGCTGGCCTGAGGGGGGGGCGCCGCGTTCAGCGGCAAGGCCCGGGGTGCGAAGCCGCGGAAAGGAGCCCGGGGAGGCAGCGGGGGCCGGGGGGATGGGAGCGGGGGCCGCGGAGGCACCAAAATACAAGTTTGCCCACGGCCCCATTTCTCCTAAGGCGGCCCTGAGCCCCGCACCTCACCCCACATTCCCCCTCCCTTCACCCCCATCCCCATTGACCCTTCCCACCCCAGCCCCCACCTCACAGCTCCCCTCCCTTCATCTCCACCTCCTCAGCTCCCCACCCCATTGACCCCTCATCCCCCCTTCCTCAGCTCCTCACCCCTTCGTCCCCCAAGCCATCGCCACAACTCCCCTCTGCCCTTGACACTCTCATTGCCCCAAGCCCCCTTCCCTTCATCCCACCCCACAGTGCCTGGCCCCCTCATTCCTCCCAGCCCCCTCCCCTTCCCCCCCCATTGACCCCCCTCAGAGCTCCTCCCCAGCACCCACACACTCCTCTGGGATGCACCCTTCTGTCTTCACCGGACAGCGCACAGGGCTCACTGGACATAAGAACAGAACATAAGAACGGCCGAACCAGTCAGACCACAGGTCCATCTAGCCCAATATCCTGTCTACCAACAGTGGCCAATGCCTGCTGCCCCAGAGGGAGTGAACCTAACAGGCAATGATCAAGTGATCTCTCTCCTGCCATCCATCTCCACCCTCTGACAAACAGAGGCTGTGCTGCCCCTCTGACCTTCTGCCCCGATCCTCCCTTGGGGAGGGAGCTCTACACCACTCCAACAGTGCCACACTGCATCAAAGCCAGCCACTGCCTAGGGGAATGCTTGGGGGGAGGTAGCTGTAGCACTGTCCTAACAGCTCCTATACCATCACCACCCCAACTTCTCGTGACAGGAGAGTAGACAGGTAAACAAGGATGTAGCCAATGCCACCTAGTGATCCCTGGCTGCCAGGCTGGGGTTTTGAGGCCATTGGCAACCAGCACCAAGAAATGTGCAAGGGAGCTTAAAACTACCTTTGCGCACACACTGGGAGCTGCACTAAACAGATTTTGAGTCCATGCCAGTAGATTCTGTTAACATAAACATGGGTGCCAATAGCTCTGATGGGACCCAAATGAGCTAGTGGAGTCAATGCCACTCCAATTGCTGTTAATAGTACCTGGGTAACTCTCCAGAAGAGCCCAGGCTTGGGGTTAAGTTGCATCTCTGAGATGTAGTTTTATATATTTATTGTTTTTTATTTTCTGTCAAGATCACCCCTCTGTATTCCAACAGGGATCCAGTGACACCTGATAGGAAACATTTCAGAGCCATAATCTGATGCACCAGAAAAGATGATAGACCCAAATAGAATAATGAACCTCATGGATGATCTGGCCAGAACCAGAAGGGAGTTCAGAGCAGCTGGACGTTTTGGGAGCCAGGAAGCTGCCCTGAGAGAAAAGCTCCGTCGGGCATTCCCTAGAATACTGCAAGGGTCCCTCACCAAATTCATCCAGTGCCACAGGATGTGCCAGTTGCCTCCCAGTCACTTTGAGAAGAAAATTCAAAAGACCTCCCAAGACAAAACCAAACTGTTCTATATCGGCTGCAACCGTGAAATAGCTCACTACCTGTGGGAAGCTGAACCACAGTCAAAAAGGTGGCTGGAAATCAAGATGAAGTACAGGAAAGCCTGCACATATTATTGCCATGCAGGAGAGTGGGATGAGACCTGCACCGCAGAGCGACTTATCAGGCAGTACTGTGGCATCAATCCCCGGTGCCTCAATGTCAAACGTACCAGAGCAAACCACTCTGGTATCATTTTTCTGTTGATCTACAAATTGAACAGGTATCGGGGGGAACCTTGCAGTCACTTTCCACCAGTGGCATTGAGTGAGCGTGAAGAAAATGTTTGGGTACTAGAGATAGAAATCATTTTTAGGATCTGCCAAATGGAAGACAAGAATGAGCTAGTGCAGTTTTTGAAGACTGATTTCTTCCAGGTGATGGGGAAATACCCACATTACCTGGAGCAGTGCTGAGCCATGACTGAGTTTCATCCTCTATTCCTGCAAAATGTGGAAAAGATCCTCTGTGAGCTAAAGAGATCGGAAGGCTTTCTGGTGAGGATACTGGATGCTGAATTAATATCCCTGTGACCTTACCTGTGGGAGATCGGATCTGCCAAACGTGAGCTGGAAGCGTATAAGAAAGTACACACCTACTTCACTAAGGTAGATGGTACCATTGATGTGAGGAGATTCCTGGAGAAAAAGTGGAGGGATCCTCGCTGCCTTAACAATCGTACCCCTTGGTACCAAGGTGAGAGGTACCCATAGGGTCCTTCTTGTACCTGGTGAAATTTTACATTGGTCGTCCGCCTCTTATGGAAGCTTGCTCACACTGTAAACATAGGAAATTACAGAAAGAACCCTATGTCGTGGGGCAGAGGAAGGGTCACAGACGAACCAATATGGAAAAGAAGAAACATCAGAGGAAATACCTGTAATTAAAAGTTCGGAATGAATATTCATTGTACATTCTGGACTCCCACCGTTGCCTTTGCATACCCTGCCCACTTCTCTGTGACACACCTAAAGATCTCTGAGTGCTATTTTTCAGCTCTTTTGCTTTAGAGGACCAATATTCTGAAGCCTCTTCCTACCTTCTCTTGTCAAGAGCCTAAGAGAGCCTCACAAACACTTTGAACAAAGGTGCCTGAGATGGTGAAACCTGGTCCTGCCTGTAACATCTTGTTGCATCTTGCACCCATTCTCCGTTACAGGGATCTCTGGTTAACATTTGTCATTCAGCCATACTTCTATTTGTGAGGCCTCACAGGCATGTAGGCACCTAATTCTCATTAAAATCAACCAGGTGCCTAAATATCTTTGAAGATCTGGGCCAAAGTGCTCAAACAGGATGTTGCTGAAGAGCCCATAACAAAAGAATGCACTTCTTTGCGTTTATTGTCCTTTTTCAAATGTAATAAATAAGCATTCAGAGTGTGACTTGTTGACGGGCTGGTCTATGAGTTTACACACACTGTGTACCCAATAAACAGGGCAACATCAACCGCTTTTATGCTGCCATTTCATATTGGGTGCAGAATTTCCAAGATGTTGTCCTACAGACATGTATTTGTCTGATCTTTACGTCCCGCTGCAACATTATTGATAACAGGTTGAGCGTGCTGCCTCCAAGCCTGATCTGTATTGTGAGGTTCAGCAAAAACAATTCATTTCATCAGGCCCAACAACCAGCTCAGAGAAGTCAATACAGAACTCTCTGGAGAGACAAGAGAAAAGGGAAGGGAAATAGGAGAGGGACAGAAGAGATGAGGAAGAGCACCAGGGGCATGTTGGGGCAGTGAAAGTGGTTATGTATAAGGGGAATAATATAGTGAAAGGGATATTCATTTGGGCACAGGAAAATCCCATCTTTGGCAAACATCCAACCAGTTTATTTCTTATTAGATTTGCTTTGTTTTACTGGGTTTAAAAGGTCTTACCAAGTGTCGTTCTGTTACATTCGTGTTAAAAACAACGAGGGAGGAAACGGTTGTTTTTTCAGTGTGTGAAGAGAATGTTTGTAGTTAGTGATAAGACAGACTATTTCTGCAGTAACCTTTTGTCTTGCTCTTTGAGCCAGGTGATTTGTGGTTTCTTCAGACAGTGAAATTACAGATCTGTGAAGCACAGAATTTGGATCCACACTGCAAATCACAGTGTAATTGTAGCATGGGTAGGCATATCTGTGCTAGCTTTAATCTTGCTAGTGTGTATAATGGTAGTGAAGATGGGCTGGCTGGGGCTTCAGAGTGAGCTAGCCACCCCAGCACAAGCCCCCCAGGGCCCTAAGTACGTCCCTGGGTTGCTAGACCACTCTGGGGTCCATGTCACTGGTTCTTCATTGCTACTGTTACCCACACCAGCTAGATTAAAGTTAGTGGGGGATATGGCTACCTATGCTACAATTGCACCGTAATTTGC